ATTTACTTTTTTCATATTCATGAACCCCATGTTAGAGATTACATGTCCTTAAAAATGAAGCCCTAAAATCCATCTCAAAAAGATATTTATTAAGAGACCCCCATTTTGACTGCATGGAAACCAGGTCCTTTCAAAAAGCCGATCATATAAAAAAGGTTACTTAGAATTCAAAGTACTGAGTCTCGCGAGATTGTGTTCATGTGTCCAATGCCATTCAACAAACGGATAGTTGGAGCGTGTGATTTATTTTGTCGCACCCCAACCATCCATTATTGGATTTCAATGGCTTGAGAGGTGCTAGCAAAATGTAGGAAACGTATGCGCTAGCGTACAACACTTCCCTTTTTCAAAACAACCAGGTTTTGGTTTTCGATTAAGAGAAAGTACCCAATGTGCTCAATTAAGTGTCCTACGGTACCTTAATCGCCCATGCTGTAAGATTTCGAGAAGGGACGGCTGGGGTGAAGTGGAGGAATTGATGGAATCAAGTAAATAAAACTACAGGACAAAGCAATATACCGGGTAAGTTTGATAGAAAACAAGTGAAATATATAGTTTATATAGAGCCGAGGCTCTAAACAATCAAATTAGAGCCGATATCAAAACTTTCACTAGAAGAGTTGTTTTAATGCTCAAATATCTTCAAATTGATCATCTCGTCATCAAGATGCATGGACATGAGAAAAAAATGGATTTTAAGTTTTGGAAATAGTGTATTTTATAACGCATTTTTGGACCGTCAATTTTCAAGATTTTCATAGACCTATTGCTTTGTAGTATTTTTGAAGCTTTAAAATTTATAAATAAAAACGAAAATATATTTTAAGGCTATCAGAAATATTTCTAGATTTGAAATCACATTCTCGATACTATTTAAAGGCAGGCTTTAATTTGATTGTTTAGATCCTAAGCACTATACAAACCGCACCCTATAACAAAAACATGAAGTCGAAGAAGAGAGATAGGTGCTACAGCACAAAATTAAAAATTTTGAATCCAAAGGGAAGTTGCCTGTGAAATGGCAGGTTGCAGTTGTTCTTCAGTGGACTTTTAGTTGGGCTAGCAGATTAAACCTTTCAATCCAAAGGGAGCGTGTTTACGCTTTTTAACATTTGGAATCTGTTGAAAGAAGGCTTTAAAACATTTGAATTGGAATCTAAGTTGCCAACGGATCGATGCCGATTCACCTGATCCGGCTCAGGTGATTACCGAGTCAAGTTAGTGCATGGGTAAAATACACGATAAAAAAAATTTAAACATTAGCAGGAATCGAGGCTCCTAATACCGGATTGCCCACCCGCAGGTTCCGTGCCGAATGGGGAGACTGCTGTTTAGCTTGGCAAGTTTAAGACCTTGATTAGAAGCTCATAAGCATGAACCTTGATTCGGATAACATACAGTCCGGTCAAGGTTAGGCTATTTTAAATAATAAGATAATTTTGTTCCTCATTAAGTAGACCATTATCATTTCACCTTTTCATTGTTAGGCTATTTTAAATAATAAGATACTTTTGTTCCTCATAAAGTAGATCATTATCATTTCACCTTTTCATTGTGGATTTGGTCTTTTCTCCACTGTTTCTCAAAGGTCTTTTCCTAGCAGTTGAGCTGTCATATACACAAGGTGAAAGAAAAAGATTTATTTGAAGCTGGTGGATCAAATTTCATACCATAGAGAACCTCGTGTAATGCAATTAGCATTTTAATCCAGTGATTAAGCGATTTAATACAGCCCATTTATGGCTCATGTTTAAGAGTAACCCCTCAGATTGTGCAAATTTATATTTATCTTTCTCTCCTCTTACTTTTTCTATTTTTATTTTTATTTTATCTTGCAAATATATTGTTCTTCTACAATATCATAAGCAAATGTTAGCCCAACCCCATGCATTAAGGATCACCTCCATAATTATGGACTATACTTGTATTAGTTGACTCTCACATCAATCTTAATTATTTGTCAATCTTCTATATTATTCTCACATATTTAGGGGTTGGTTGATATCTCTTTTTCAATCTTCTAAGTGATGCCTGCTTCTAGCTAACTTGACAATAATCTCAGCCAAGAATTGTGGTATGAATTTGCCTTAGAGATGAGTGAGTAGCCATTGCCCACCAAGTGGTATGGAATGGAGGTGAAGCCAGGGTGCTCGCAAAGCCTAACTTGAAAATGGCATGCCTTTGAAAAGTACAAACTATTCGTCAAAACTATCAAAGCCATGGATTATTTGGAACGTTAGAAGATGCATTATTTTTAGAATATAGTTTGGATTTATTAGAAGATACATTATTTTTAAGACTTGAATTTTTTTTTTTTATATCCATAAATCACTAGGTCAAGATGATTAATTGAAAGGTTTTACAACTTTGCAACGCTTCTGTTTACTGAATGTTTGAGGTGCACATTACTCTATAGTAGAAGGTTGCATCTTCATATAAACCTTTTCCTTTATTTATATAGGACATATGGCAATTGCACATGTATTTTCTTCCTACATAGAATTTCCCATAAACTCACATGTTTTTCTTTTTTTAAAACATAAAGAGATAATTTTGTGAACAGAAGTTAGTTAGAATCGAGACATGATGCAGTGACTGTATATGGGCCTCAGCCTCATCGGTTAGTTGTTGCAAGAATTAAATCCCAAGTGTCATTTCTATACCTGAGCTAACCAAAAAGAAAATAAACTAATTAGAATTGAGGAACTGATGCGATGACTGCATATATAGGTGAGATGAGGGTATGGGACTTTGTAGCACAATGATTTTGCCCTTATAAATTTTCAGTGGTTTTAATATTAGTCTCGAATTGAATTAAAATATATGACTTAAGAACAAAGAATATGAATAAATTAACCAGATTGAGAATAAACATGTAGAATAAGGCGTTGTTTCAATGTTCCCTTGTTTAGCCCTAAGACAACCTTGTAGCGGCACTTGATTAGGCGGTGTGCTAGTTTGGCTCGTCACTGTTCATAAGCCAAATGAATGATAGAATCTTGCTTATTAGGGGAAAAAAAGAAAAGCAAACCTCTTGTATCATGATCACTAAAAACTTGATCGATATATTAAGGAGCTTATTTTTAGGACTATTGATAAAGTTAACTAAAGATAGACATGGATATGGCCGCAAGATGTCTAAATGAGGCCTTTAACTAAAGGCTACATTCTTTATTGGAACAGTAGGATTGCTTCAGATTTGTTGTTTTCATGGGTCACACTTAAATAAATGCTTTCCCATTAAAAAAAACCTAAAACCCACCAAAAAATTGATATGGCTACAAGATGTTTAAATAAGGCCTTCAACTAAAGGATCAATTCAGATTTGTTGGGTTGATGGGTCACACTTAAATAAATGATTTCACATTAAAAAAACATAAATGGTCCATTCTAACCTACCATAAAAGCTCGCTTAGTCTATCCAAACTGATATTTTTCAATACCTTGAAGACTTTGGAGTAAAGTTGATCAAGTCAATGAATGAAGAGGCCCACGCTTTCCACATATGACCAAAACATAGTAACCCCAACGAAGAGTTTTCAACAATCATTTTACGTTTCTGCAAAATGATTGTTTGTTCATACCGTGGCTATGGCAGCCATCGGGCCCGCCAGGCCTGGCAGGATCGGCATGTCTGAAGTAGTTGACCCTAGGGATGGGAAAGCAAGACCCCTAATTAGGACCTTGGGCCAAGGCCCTTTAGCCCGGTCTAAGCAGGGATAGGCCTCTAGCGATCACTAGGCTAGGATTGGCCTTGCGTGTTGCTTGATTAGTTAGTTATTGACTATTGTAACATTGCATATACCACACACTTTCGAAATTAGGGGTCGAAAATCAAGAAAAATGAAAAGATTGAATAAGATGTTGCATATTGGGTGGGCGAAGTAGAAGTGTACCTAGAGTTTTATATAATTACCGCATATATTAATGAAGTTGTAGGGGAAGTTCACTAGGACAACTATGAGACCAGCTTTGTTTTATGGGGCTGAATGTTGGGTGATCAAGAAACAACATGATGAATGTAGTTGAGATGAGGATTGTTGAGATAGATAAGTGATGAGACAAGAAAGGGATGGAATTTGGATTCAAAATTTTAGCAATAGTTATAAATTTGAAAAATTATATAATTAAAAAATAATACTTTTTTTTTTAGGTTAACCATTTAACTGACTTCCGTAGTATCTCCACTATTTTTTTTTGGGATATGTGAACAGTGGGAATGGATCCAAAATAAAACTACATTTCAAGTGTTTCGAGTCTTCTAGATCTTGTATCCATAGAAAACCTTAGTGGATTCATGAAACTGGACACTTGCAGTAGACTTCTCCTTTTTATGATTTTTATCTTTTATTTGTCCTTATGAGAGATCAATGAAAAATTCCACATTAAGAAACGAGATTGTATATAATGAGGCTGCATACATTTAATGCAAGAAGGTCAAAATTACTTAGAACCATCCGATGTAAAGTATGGTAGTTTTGGTATGTTACAAAGTTCAATAACATATCTTTTGAACTTTGAGCTTGGTCCATAGGATAAGGAAATATTTAATATAAGTATGAGGTTCTAAACAATCAAATTAACGCACATCTAAAAAATTTCACTAGAAGAAATATTTTGATGCTCAACTATCCTCAAATTGGTCATATCGATCTCGAGATGTATGGACATTTAAAAAAAAAAAAAAAAAAAGGATTTCAAGTTTTAGAAATTGAACCATCAATTTTTAGGATTTTCATGTTTTCATAGATCTGCTCGATCTATATTATTTTTGAAACTTTAATTTTTATAGTTAGAGACGAAAATTTTATTTTAAGGCTATCACAAAAATGTCCAATATTGAAATCACATTTCTCGATACTATTTGAAGGTGTGGTTTACTTTAATTGTTTAGAGCCTCAACCTTATACAAACTACACCCATAAAATAAATGCAGCCACTTAATTCCATATCCAATGGCCAAGATTATGTGTGACCATTTACACCAGAAGTCAATCATCTCATTGTATACCTTTCCTTCAGATTAATATCTTATATAAGATTGACACTTGAAAATGTACAATTATCATTGACATCTAATTATTGGTAGCAGAAAAAATCAACTACAAATTTGGGTTTTGAATCCCAAAAATAACACAAATACCCTCCCAATCACAGCTAACATACATCAGAGGACAAACAAACTTGGTCTTCTCAGTTCTGAAGAAAGACTAAAATACCCCCCATAACCATGACCCAATTTCCAAGTCCCACTCATCAATTCCACTAGGGGCATTTCTGTCTTTCAAAAGCCAGAGAATTACCAACCCAAAAAAGTGAAAATTCTTTCTTTTTCACTAGAAAACTACGTGCACACGTAACCCAGTCTATCAACATGCGACCCTACACGTGTCTAACATGCACACGAGGAATGCAAACGCAAGGGATAATAAGCCAAAAAAGCAAGGTTATAAGTCCCAATAACCAAAACAAATTCCCGAATCCCCATCTCCGAATAAAGCGTGAAGCAAAGTTGAAGCCTAAGCAATGAGCCCCGAGTCTAAGGATACCCCAGTTGCAGCCTAAGCAATGAGCCCCGAGTCGAAGGATACGCCAGTTGCAGGTAACCAAGAATTCCCAGATATGAATTGAGCCACAGTAAATTTGGTTGCATCATCAACAGTCAGCTCCCCTTTGTACCCCGGCCACCGGACCCGGTCTGACAGACCGGCGCCCGGCCCCTTGTTCATGTACTCCCCATAGTACAAACTTTTAAGAGCGAAATTTCCGGACCACTCTAGCCATCCGGCTGGCCTTATTAAATCATCTAAAAAGGATTGCATTATTACTGTTCTCGAAAATTCTTGCCATGGCCGGCCGAGATATGTAGGAATACTGCTTTTTACTGGGACAAGGTCGGAGGCTGCCGTGATCTTACAATTGTGTATTGAAAATCCGGTATTCTGATTTGGGTCTTTGCGGCCTTGGGCCGTGTATGTTATCCTTTGGTCAGACATAGGCTTTCTTGCATAGAGGTTGCAACTTTGGAAGACCGCCGCTGCATTTCCGAAGATGAAGTCAACAGTGCCATAGATGTCGGTCTCTCTGTAGAATTGACGGTTCGAGTGAGCGTAAAGTGTGTCTTGGTACCCGACGATACTGCAGCGGTAGATGACGGAGCGGTCGGACCCCAACCGGAGGGCCACACCTTGGTGCTTGGCGGGTCCTGCTGTGTTCTCGAATGTTATATCCCTTGCCATGAACCCTGGTCCAGTCGCCGCTGTAAAGAAGGTGAAAAGATCTCGTAATTCCTTCAACACTTATCTTAAGGGTGTTTTGATATTCAATGGATGATGGGACTCAAATAAGCCGTTTTGGTCCCTTCTATGGAGCCATGATGATGTAAGGTGAATATGGAATGGGCCGTGATGTATACTTTTATTTCTTTATTTTAGTTTTGAGTAATATATGTATGGACACAAAAAATTAGGAAAATATAAAATAAGCTAATTTTGGGTGAAAATTATGTGGAGGATCATTAAATTTTATTTTTTTGTTAAAAAAAAATTACCCCTCTATTCAAGGATAATATCTAGTTAATTTTTTTTAGACTTGCTGTAAGTAGGGTAGTGCCCAGATTGAGTGGCCATGACCGGTCCAAAAGGCCGTTTGAGGTTGACATCATTGAACCGTCTTATTTCTTAAGATACAAATGAGGTACGAGATGCATAAAATAAAATTTGAGATACATTGATCTGTTATCCCTTATTCCCGGCTCTGTAATAAACATATGTCGACTTATGTGAGGCCCTCGGCTTGAACTCTTAAAGTTTGTCAAACATTTTTTAACGAAGACTTAGTGAGAGATACATTTTACGTGTGGGAGGTGGGGGGTTTGGACCTTTGCAATTTCCAAGAAAGCCCAAATGTGCGGACCTAGCCTTGACGGAGTTCCTTTTCTGCCTGGTGGAAAAATGAGCCGGACTTGGCCTAGGGCAGCCATGCCCCTTGTCCCTAGAAGGCCAGCGTAAGCCTAGCCTAGTCTAGACCGAAGAGGCCCAGGCACAACCATAGCCTAGTCCAGATCGAAGAGACCCGGGCACAATCTAGGCCCAGCCCTTTCTAGGACCGGCTAATAGATTGAAAAGAAAAAAAAAAAAATTTGAAAAAAAAAAAAATAAAAAGAAAAAAAGCAAAGGGCAAAAAGGGTTTGGGCAATGTCATGTTTCTACATTATTTTATTTTTAATTTTTTTCTATAAACTATTTAGACACTAAATTTTGGACGTCCAATCCTCTATTAAACTCGCACTAGAGAAAAATATTAAAAAAATATTTTCAATAAAATAAAATGATCAAAAAATACCCCTGAAAGTTTTAAGGGGTATTTTGGTCATTATATTTTATCGAAAATTTATTTTTAATATTTTTTATATGTACGCCCCAATGAGAAGATTGTACGTACCAAATTTCATATTCATACAATTTGTATAAAAATTGTATACAATTTCATATTCATACCCCTGAAACTTGGTCGGAAAATGTCACTGCCTATCGACGACTACCACTTGAGGTTTGAGTGTCGAAAGAGAGAAGGTATTGAATAATATACAGGGAAAATTATAGATACCTCTTCCTTTTTTTCCTTAAACCTCCTCCTTTTCTCCCTTAATTTCTTTTTTATGAAAAATCTCAATTATTGTTATTTTTATTTTTTCCTTTGTATACATTTAATAGGATGAAAACAAAGAAAAAGAAAATTATAGATACCTCTAAAATAAACTTTCCAAACATCCAACCCCCAATATTATTTGTATTATATCCTAAACCCCAACACTGTTTGTTCTTTTATTTATCTCCAAACCATAAATTCAATAAATTTGAGATGAAAATATCCTTTCCATCTCTCTTCCCCTAATTTTTTTAGTCACGTGCTATTGGCAACAATTTCTCTTTCCTCTCTCTACCCGCCCTATCTCTCACTCTCTCTACCTCTCTCTCACCCGCCCTCTCTCTCTCCCTCTCTCAACACCCATCATCTCTCTCTACTCGCCCTCTCTCTCCTCAAAATCACACTAAAGCATGTTCAAGAAGAGAACACTCGCAATTCTTGTTAGATTGCTCTGAAAATTTCCTTAACCAAACCAGAGAGTCCCTGCCCCTAACAAAGCCTAGTGCAAATCACCCTTTTAACCTATTGATATGTTCCTTAACCTCCTTATTAATCCAATCAAAGCCTCGATAAGCATGGCCAAGGAGGATCCCACCAAGAAAAAATAGAGCCAACCACCATTAAAAACATTGGGTTATTAGCAAAAAAGCACTTAGAAATTGGGCCTTCAGGCCTCAAAGTAGCTATTGTAGCCCTAATTCCAGGTGGGTAATTCTTGAGTCCATTAAAAATGTTAATTCGTTTTTCCAATATGTTGCAAAGGTTTTTAATGTGAATTCATATAGAAAACTAGTATCCCCAATTCTTGAATTCCTCAAGACCAACTTTTGTAACCTTCTTGAAATCCCCTACTATATTCACGATTTCATGGTTTCGCTATAAAATCAATAGCTTCCCATTTGATTTCTCTGCGTGTTGCTTGAGTTTTTCTAAGAAATAAAGGAGCATCAGCTCCTCTCCTCCTCTGTAAGTATATTGCCGAGCTGAACAACCATGGAGTTGACTGCAATCCATTGATCGTTTTCATCGATGATTGGAGCCATTTTCATAACTTGTTTAGCCTTTTTGGAGATCGTCATGGAAGTTTCCAACTGCTAGCAAGTGACGTTGAGATAGGTATGTGAATTTTTATTGTTGTTGGGTACAGAGAGAGAAAGAGAGAGATAACGAAATGGGTTGAGATTTCAAGTAGAGAGAAAGATAGGGTGGGTAGAAAGAGATACCTGTGATAGAGAGAGGGCAGGTAGAAAGAGAGAGAGAAAGAGAGAAAGTGGGTTTTAGTAGAGTTTTTTCGATAGAACAAGAGCGAGTTTGAGTAGAGAGAGAGTGAAATGGGTCTCTTTTACTTTGGGAGAAAGAGAGTGTGGGGAGAGAGAGAAAAAGTTTGGGCATAGAGGTAGAGAGTAGAGGCCCAATGTCATTTGACCCTAAAATAGAGGAGAAGAGAGAGAGAGTAAGGGTATTTTTATCTTAGATTTATTGATTTTTTGAGTTGGGGATAAATATTTTAAGATGGGATACAAAATGTTTTGGGGGTAGGATATCTCGAAAGTTGATTTTGGGGATTATCTATAATTTTTGAAAAAAAGAAAAGAAACCCCTCATAGACTTTTTTTTCTTATAAAACATGTAAAAAATGGACGCAAAAAATGTCTTTCTATGCTCCAAATTTGGACTTGTTATAGGTTCACTTTAGGCCTGGTAGACTGGTCAGTCTAGTAATTGTACCGGCTAGTTCGCCAGCTCAACGCAACTCAAATCCCATCCCGGCTCATTGGTTGAACCGTATAGAAAAAGGTATTGTTTCACCTATTCACCGGTTGAATCGCTTGGTCCTCTTTGACTATATATATTTGAAAAAAACAAAAGAAAAAAAAAAAGAACAATGTATGATCCAGTAAGCCTAACTTATTGCTCAACTCCCGAAATAACCGCACCGTCCCTAACATAAATTTTGGTGCCAACAAGTTTTTTCTTTTTTGGAGTAATTCAGTGGGGAAAGACAACCACTACCCAATTTAGTAGATTAGGAGTTACATGTTTGAAGGTATTAGTGAATTGTTATCGGTAAGACTAAGTGTGGGGATGCTACCGCCATCACCCGAGCCCTTTCCTCGGTGCCGACAAGTTGGGCCTAGGTAGTTGCTTTAACTCAAAAAGTAACGGCAATCCCATAACGTAAATTTCGGTAGTCTCATTCAAAAGAATGATATCTCACCCGAAATTTATAGCCAAAACATTTAAAGAGCAACCTATTAGATTTCTGTGCAATCAACGAAATCAAACGAAATTCGAAGCTGAAATAAAGATTGAAGCGGACTCACCAAAAGTTGCCGACTGAAAAGTTGTCCACCCATCCTCGGCGTTATGATTGCTGGTTATGATCGTTTTCCCCTTCCCATCTCCCACCAACATAACGTTACTATGCGACCTTGGAATTTTTATGGTTTCCTTATATACCCCTGTCTTCATATAAATGACCTGCCGGCCCGACCCACCGGGAACGGCTTTCAAGGCTTGAGCCAAGCTCATGTGGGTCCCGCTCCCATCCAATGCCACCACGGCTTGGGGCTTTATCTCCTCTCTAGAAGCTTCTAGAAGCCTCCGCTCTGCGACTGACACCCACTCCGGAAATCCGCCTTTCGATTGGGCCTCATACACATTTTCATTAGTTTCTTTCTTATGAGTACTAGCACCAACAATATTAGTACTAATGTTATTAGAGGGTAAATTAGATGATGAACTTGTAAAGGAAACTAATTTTCGAAATTCCCCACCCATATTATGAGGTTTATTATCATCACCAATGTTTTTAATACTATTGCTATCATGGCCTTTACTATTATTACTAATAAGGATTCTATCCCTAAGATCACTACTGGAAAACAATTTAAAAGCCCATTTTGAAAAAAACCCATTATAAACATTATCATCATCATCACCATTATTATCAGTGATTGATAGCAATCTACGAGTTTTGGGTGGTGTAAATTTTCTCCAAGAATACTTGTAAAGAGCCAAAGTGTTACTTATATCCTGCATGAGACCAAGGGCCCTAGCATCCATTAAGTCCTTCAAGGCCTTGATTTTCAGTTTTTCTAGACCTTCAAGGCAAGTAGCTTGATTTGTTAGAGCTGAACTAAGCCAAGTATGAATATCATCGGGACTCGGCCTTTTTCGCTCATCAAGTGAGTCGAAAAGTTGGCCTATACTGTCCTCTAAAAGCTCCAAGCAATCATTCATACCCGAATATGTGAACTTTCCGTGCACCATTCCTGTATTTGTCAAATTCAAAGCGAGGTCCCTAGCCGAGACAGCTCGGTCCATGGCGTACCGAACTGAGTGCTCGAAGAGGCGAACGGGGTTCGATGTGTGTTGAGCGAAGCTAGCCATCGATGATTCACAGGCAATGGGGTAAAGTGTGGTTTTGCAAGCTGAGATTCTGGCTTTTGAAACTGCATTAATGTGAGGAATTGGGTGTTGGTTCTTGGGGCTAGAGAGCTTAACTGTGGCAACAATGGATGCTGTCATAATGAGAAGGATTAGAAGGAACATCATTGAGTAATGGAAAGCTGGTTTTTTCTCATGGCTTGTTGGACTGAAGCGGAGCAACTTGTAAAGCCAGAGGCCCTCTAGAGACATTTTTGAAGGAAAAGAGTGGGTTCAAGTTATGGGTTGCCCTAATATGTCCCCCTTTATATAGAGGGAAAGTAGGGTTTTCTTTTTATTTTTTTTGGAACTGGGTGGTTGTTACCATCTCCTTTTTTAAAGTCTCTAATCCGTTTTGGTGCTTTAATTTTTTGTTTTGAGAAATATACAAGTAAAAAAAAGACACAATCATCCATCATCTAATGAAACCAATGTTTTAAAAATTGGATCAAATTATGCTATTTTTTATCTCACCCTCTCTAAATTATTGCTCTAATCAAATCACTGGCAAATCATGATGGTAAAGTATACAAAAAAATCATTTATTCACAATCACTCAATCACTCTTATCTTTTAGATTTTAAATGACGTGGTTGTGACTATGCCATTAACTAGATTCAAAGTTCACATAAATTTTCTCTAACGTTGTGACACACCCCATGCCATCCAATTTGACATTTAATGGATAGGAGTAATTCTATCATCCTTGTAAGAAAGTAAATGGTCATCATTATCTATAATCCCTTATTTTAATGTAATATTATTATTATTATTTTCTTATTTGAATATTTTGAGAATTCTGAACTTTGTTTAAAGTTTTTAAACCTTGTTTACATTTTCTTTTAGAATGGCTGAGTCGACTTAGTTGGCTTGTTGATTCAGCCGCTTCGACTCGAACCAATAACTTATTGGTTTTGTTTATTTTATTTTATTTTAGTTTTAATATTGTGCAAAATCAAATACGCAGACTTGGCTAGGGGGTACCAATTATCCTAAAAGTCCCAAAAAATTTTCCCAGACATTCTAGTTTAGTGCTTAAGGGTCTTTGACCTTTTTGTATGAAGGTAACTGTCTCAGTGTATATAATCCCATTCGTGTTTTGAAAGAGACTACTATCAATGCTATTAAGCTGGCACCTAATTTAAAAGCCACAAAGAAGTACTATTTTTTTAATCTTTTTAATGCCCCAATTTTGGCTTTAAAATTGGCAAAATTAGTGTCCAATCCTGTTTTTTGCAGACTTGACATAATGCAGGTGAGCTATTGGTTAGTAGGCCCCTTTTCCTATTCAGCATAATTTAACCCCATTATTGTTCGACCAATACGGTGGGGACTGGCAATGGAGCGGATGTGAACGAAGGTGGTGAGAAGATGGAGAGTAACATGGCCATGAATGTCACATCGTGAGAGACAAAGGATTACCAAAGGATCATAACAACATTTTTTTACCTAGAGGTCGGAAAGATGCTTAAAAAAGCCCGAGGTGACAGCAACTCATGAGAGACAACGAGAACTGAACAAAACATTTTCCGCCAAGCCAAAAAGATGCATGTGAGTGTAAGAGGGAAGCTGCCGGGTGACAGTTCGTAATACCGAGTAGATGCATGTGAGCATAAGAGGGAGGCTGCTCGGTGACCCTATGTAATACCAAGTTACATCAATTTCGGTTTGAAGACTCTGAAAACATTTCGGTGAAATTTTGCACTGGCCATATGACATTTCACCAAAATATCGGTTTACTACATTAATTCATATACATATATAATTTCAAAGAGTAACTGAAATTTATGAAAACACCACAAAGAAAGGACAAAAAATGTGGTCGAAAACAAGCACAAGAAAAAAAAAAAAAATAATAATAATAATTAACAGGTATAGGTTAACAGAAGAAAAAGAAGAAGAAGATGGTGAAACCATGAGTAACTAACTGAAAATATTGTTGTTTCTTTGAGAGATCTAAGCTGTAAACTTGTTTAATATAAATTTACAAGAAGCCAATTATGGATGGTCAAATTGCTAAAAGAACCATCAAAAGCTAGGTGGACTGGGAATGGGGCTGGGTCACGGCGGTAGCATTACATGATCCTCAGTTAAAAGCCATGGCCTCTATTCTCATTAACACTAAAAAAATTTGACTCTTTCCAAAATGGGTAGGGACCTGTAATCTTTACTGATCTACAAATAAAATAAAATAAAATAAAATAAAATAAAAAAAAAAAAATTTGAAGCAAGAGACTAGCAAATAATCCTTTTGGTTAGGGGTGGCAATGGGTCTGGAGTCTGATTGGAAGCCTGATTTCTAGTCTTGCTTTCTGGATGGAGCCGCTGCCTTCTCTAAACCAATGGGTTTTTTCATATATATATACATATATTTTAATGAATTTAGAGAAAGAAATAATATCTAGGGGTCCGCCCTGTCCGATACCGTCAACAGGGCTGGGCCGAGCCACTTCGCCGAAGAGTAAGCCACGGCCCGGTTCCTTTTGCCCTGGCCTATATCTTGCGTTCCACCCTTATGGGGGATCAAATCGTGATTCGCAGTCATATTTGGAAAATATAGGACATGTTAATACATTAAAAAAATTGGTTTAACAAAATTCTGTTTTAGTTTCCCCTTATTTTTACAAAGGCATTATTTTAACAATAGAAATTTTAATGGAAAATCCATATTTTGTAATTATATCCAATTTTATCCTAATTTTGGAAATATATGAAACTAGCGCAGTGTTATTTTACTTGCCAAATGCATCTATGTGGATAATCTTCAACGACCTCCTAGCTTGATACTTTGCCATCGATAAGCCTCGCCGAACCAACAGCCTTCATGTACCATATCCGGTCTCGACTTCTAACTGAGGAAGTTCCCTTACCTAGATAGTAGAGTGATTTACGCACGGACCCTAAGATATTTTTTAAAATATGAAATGCTCTATTTATAGGCAGAAATTATGAAGAAGGTTGGTCAACCTATATTTTTTTTATTGTTTCTAAAATTGCCTCTCAAGTTTGAAGATGTCCTCGGTCCTAATTTTAAATTTTTTTTGTTAGTAGGAAAATTCCCTACTAACAAAAAAACTAAAAACAAAAATTAAATTTCAGTCCAAGGATGTTCTCGGATCGGGGTAATTTTGAAAAAATAAAAAAAAATAGGTTGACCGATTTTCCTTGTAATTTCCATCTATAAATAGAACACTTTGTATTTTAGAAAAAAATTTAGGGTCCGCACGTAAATCACTCTAGAAAAAATTCTCCATAATCGATTGGTCTAACGTCTTTAGATTTCAATATACTGTGACATTATCGGCGCCAAACACGCCGAAGTTTCGTCATATTAGCTTTGGAGTCTTTTCTGGTTTGATCCAATTTAGTGCTTCGGCAGACTCAGAGAATGACTTCATAATGCCCGAAGCAAGCCAAAGCAAATACACTCAATCTTCGCTTCTCTTCGATCTACCCCGAATAATTCGGCCGAATTAAAACGAATCCAACAACATTGCCTTAAATTCTGTTAACGGACGGCCCAATCTACTGCAACCACGTGTCTCTCTCTTTCTATCTAAGTTCCAATCACGTCCAGTTTCCTTCTCTAAAGCAAACTCTAATGATGTCTGGCTGGCAATCGTAAGATGGGTTATTGATAGAATGGCACTTTCAACAACCAAACTTTTTATGGCGCTCAAGACTCCATCAGCCATTATCTTAGCATTCAGAGCCTCATGGCCCTACCCAAACGTCAATAAGAGCTGCAAATTTTTGCCATTGTAAAGGGTCCTACCAATACTTTGACACAGGACATGACATAAACCCACGTTCTCTCTCTGAATATGGACGAATTTGTGCGTCTTTCTCCCTTGAAGTGGTCCGGACAAAAGTGTGGAGTTCACCTTAGCAATGGATGAGATATAGGTTAAGCATAAATGTTAATGCATCAATGGGGGGGGGGGGGAGAAAACGCGCCCCAAGAATGGACTCCGGCCCATATAACCACGAACCAGTTTGGGTAATCGGTCCTAAGTCTCCTGTCTGCGCAGGCTGCAGGTCTCGGCCAGGTTAAAAAGGGTTAATTTTTTTTTTTAAATCTCAAAAATTATGTTTTAAGTATAATTAAAAAAAAGATGAAGTTTCTATAAGGCCTAGGTTTTATGAAAACAAAATAAAACTTCACCTCTATTCCCCATCTAGAAAGCACTTTCGACAACGAAAATCTTCATGACGGCTCTAAAATCAATTTTCAATACGGACAATAAAATTTGAAACTAAAAAAAAAGTAGATCTATAAACACTTATTTTTAGGGTGAAATGGACGATCTAGATAGTTTGTTATGATCACTCATTTTTTTACAACCCTAACGTTTAAACCAAGATAATCATCGGTGTAAAGGTTTATCGATGCTTGAATTGTAATTTTTGATGAGTAATGAGGCGAGGCTGTACTTAATTTGGTAGGACGGCAGCCCTATCAAACCATTATCCTTAAACGAAAATACATCCAAATGAGATTAAAAATTTAGTTAAAAAATAGATTTTAAGAAAATTAATTTGTGTCAAAGGGTATTATTAAAAATAATCCAAAAAAAAAGAAAATGTGAAAATAATTATTATTACTAAAATAATTCCCAATATTTTCTAAAACAATAGAAAACATTACAAAACCTATTACAAACAAATTTCTTATTTTTTTTTGGATATTTATAATCTTTTTGAAATTTTTTGTTTTAAAGTTCGTGGCTTGACTATCCTAACCAGCCAAAATAGACTACGGCCAATGACTAGTTATGGATAAGCCAGCCGGGTCTAGGTCGTACGGGCCGGTTTTGCGAAGAGAGAGAGATGCTAGGCAAAAATGTAAATGCGTATCAGGAGGAGCATTCCTTCTCAACGAATTCTACGCAAAAACCATTTCGTAGAACTTGAAGTCGTACACATCTAGAATGTCTGGTGGTGGAGTGGACTAGGGACCACCATGGATCTTTATGCCAGCCCTTTACGTGGTTTCATCTCTCTCACTCTCTCTTCCACTGATTGGATGGCACTATGGCTAATATCAGCCATAAAAACCATTTCTTTTGTTCTTTGCTTTTACTTGTAATCTCATTCACTCAATAAATTCACAAAAAAAAAAAACAAAACCAACCAAGTCTTTTCGATATTTGACTTCTTGGCTATAAATGGTCTCTCTCTCTCTCTCTCTCTTGGCTCAAATATATGTCTCTCTCAAGCCTGTCACGGAATGGGGACCC